TTCACCTTTAGAGTTGGTTAGAGTCTTCTACCTATTGTGAGTGATCAAGGAGGGGATCGTATAGGAGATGAAAACGAATTTGCTTTTGCCCAGGTCCGAAGAGTTATATCCGTGGATAGGTTTTGGCCCATAGAACTTTAGCTTCCCTCAACCTCCCCCCAGCACTCTTCATCAACTCACAAACCTTCGTCGGCGCGTCCGGTTCCTCCTCCCCCTCCCGAAGTAAACACCACCTCACATACCGCTTCGACACTTCCACATACTCCCTCGCGTTTATACCCCCAGAAGAGTCAGAATCAATAGCATCATCCCAAAGCACAATCCACACCACCCACACGGCCACAGTTTTCAGCTTTTCAAAATCTTCGGATCCGGCCGCAAGAGAAGGGTACAGCCCACAGACCAACAAAGCGGTGTCATACTCGATAGCCTTTTGCAGCGCTTTTGGCTGGGGGATGAGGGAGGAAAGGATGGGGTTTATGACTTCCTCTGTCAGGCGGTTGTGCAAGGGGTGAGGGGCGGGAGGAGGGAATTGGGGAGGTGATGATGATTTCCAGGTGCGGAGGAAGTGGGTTGTGGGAGGGAGGAGGAGTGTTTGACCTGATAGAGATTCCATTTTTGGTAGGTAGTGAGTGGTGGTGAGGTGAGACAGGAGCAAGTGTTGATGGAAAGGGGAGAGGGTCTCCACCACAGAGATGTTGGGCTGCAGGTGGGGCCTCAAACAAAAGAGCAGTTGTGAATCCCATTCTCTGTCATTGTTTTCACGGCACATGGGAGTTCGAAAAGGTTTCGAAAAGTGTGATATTCAGTCGGCCATGAAGCCTATCATCTATCCCTTTATCCTGTAAGTAGTCCAGGTTCACAATCCGCCCTCATTTCTTTCCCTCTTGAGAACAAAACGCCAAAATCCATGCACCCCCCCCCCCCCCCCCATGCCATTTCGTCTACAACACAATGCGCGCGCGCGCGAGAGAGAGAAAGAAACCCAGGAGTCAAGAGAGTCGACAACAACAACAACAACAACAACAACAACAACAACAACAACAACAACAACAACAACAACAACATTTATCCTACCACCATCAGCAACAACCAAACCACCATGACCCCAAAACCACCACCACACCCACGACCATAACAATGTTCCCCATGCTAATGCATACACTTATCAAACCACACCATCACCGCCGCCGCCACCTCAAATGCAATATCTAGTACAATACGATGCTAATGCTCTTCTGTAATGATGCTTGCTTGGTTGCTCATCATCATCATCATGATTCCCCATCGTCATCAACAACACATGCTCATCCTCTCATCTCCTCATCTCTTCATCTCCCCATCGTAACGAATACAATAAACAGGAAGAAAAAAATACAAATGTTTGATTTGAAGAACGAAAAAAAATATCAGGAAACAAACTATGAAAAAAGAAAAAAAGAAAAAGAAGCCAAAAGCATGAACTCGCCTAGAGGTAAAAAAAACAACAACAAAAAAACCATAGGCAAAAACGTAAAATAACACTGCTGTAAGAACTATTGTCGTCAGAAGGTCGTGGGTTGTCGTGGTGGTGGTTGGTCATGGGGTCATGTCGACAGGACGTTGTTGTATGTTGTCAGTAGATCATCAAAGTTGTTGTCGAAAATAAAAAGGAAATCAGGCGCTCGCCGGAGCAGTCGGCGGCGGCGGCGCATCACCACCACCACCCACCGCACCACTCTCCCCCTTCACAGGATTGCCGTCACCGCTGCTGCCGCCGCCATTCACCGGCCCCTCAGCAACCAAATCCCCCGTCTCAATCTTCTCCCCCGTATCCGCATCGATGAAATTCTCCTCATTCACCACAATCTCACTCGCCGCAATCCGTCTCATCAACTCCAAGAAATTCGAGTGCTTGAACTTGTCCGAGTTGTTGCCACTAACAGCCCTCAGGATGTCCTCGGCCGCCCGAGCCAGGTCCGCATTCTCCCTCCGACGGGAGTGTTCCTCCTGCTCGTCGGCAATCCGCTCCATCTCCGAGTTGATCGCCGCCATCTCGGCATCGGTAGGCGGAAGGGCTTTGGGTCCATGCTCGGCCATCCACTTGGCTTGCTCCTGCTCGAATTCCTGCTCCTGACGCTGGTAGTCGGTCAGCTGGTCGGCTTGCTGCTCGTACTGGTCGAATAGATCGGCAAAGGCGTCCTTGACCTCGGCGCTTTCGACTTGTACAGCGGCAGCGGCGGTGGCTTCTTGACCTGGGAGTTGGCTGTGGGTCATGGGGGCGGAGAGAGCAGGTAGGTAGCTCTGAAAGGCCATGCCAGTTTGGTAAGGGGCGAAACTGTTGACACCTGTGGTGGGGAGCATCATAGGCTGCTGAACAACAGGCACACCAGGGTGGCTCATCGCCATGCCTGGGGTTTGACCAGCTTGGACCGAACTGCCGTTCGCAATCTTCATGCTGGCAAACTCGTTGATCCAGGCTTGGTTCCCGACTCCACCGGTGGCGGGCGACTCGAGGCGCATAGCTGCATGATGCTCTGCAGCCAGGCGAGCAGCCATCGGAGCAGGAGACATGGCCATAGGAGGGCGATGAAGGGCAGCCGGGTTCATATCAGGGAGCAGAGGGCCGTTCTCAAAGCCAGCGTTGACCGGACCACCCTGCTGGAAACCCTCAAAGGCTCTCTGGGCAGCGTTGCTCGGACCGGCATTCTGCGACCGGAATGACTGTCGAATGGTTAGTAAAATGTCGATAGCCGTTGATGGAGACACTCACAGCTCCGGGACCAGCCTGAGGAGCATTCACGAGCCGATCTTGGTGCAGGGTGCGATCGCGGTCGGTATGCGCGAGCAGGTTCTTAGCCCCGTTGGATGGGCCGCACATGGAGTCAGCCATCTTGACGACTAGAGGGAATAGTCGCTGAGTTGAACGGTCCGGAACTCGGATTTGTTCTGGATAAGAGCGACTGGCTTGGAGAGAGAGAGAAGGAGAATTGACGATGTGATATGGGAACCCGGGGGGCGAAAAGCAGTGGTGAGGATATTCGCAAGTTACAAAAAGAAGCCGAGGTCCCTGGATGTCTTAGGCAAAAAGGGAACCTCTCTTTGAGAGGCGGTTATTACTATTGATGCTGGGATGAATAGGAAAAAGAAAAATAAGGCATTATTCTATTGTTGTGGTTGACCAAACCGCCATTGAAAGGGACCCACTTGGTCACGAGACTCTCCTGAGGCTCTGGGAGGATGAGAAGAGTGTTTTGGTCCTTCCAAAGTCGGTGTTTCGTGGTGTTGCGAACTCTTCGAAGAAAAAGGTCGGTGGCTCAGTCAGCTTGTGAACGCATGCGGGGAGTGGAGGGCGAATTCCTGGGCCGGGATGTGTGTGGGGTATTTCGGGTGGGACAAGGCTGCGGTGAGACCAACGCTGAGTCAAGGTCAACAAGGCCATACCGAGCTCACCTTGATTTTCTTTGCCAGCTGGACAGTGGGACACAGGGGTAGGTTCGAGCATTACGCTATACGCAGGGCACCAGCTCCTGGGCCTCCAGCGACCGACCTGTCCTCTCGATCCCATCTGCGACCCCAAAACAACCACAACACCTCCCGCATTCCTCTCATTTAAACAATACCTGATTGGGAGAACAATAAAATACCCCGACAAGCAATAATAAACCTACAAAATGGTTCGCCCGCCCTCTCCTCCGCCCACCGCCCCTCTGCTGTTCGCTTCGCCAGCGAAGGGAGAGACCCCAACCCAGTGGACACATGCTAACCATGGCCGGAGCTATTCAGACAGCGGGCGCCCAGGTTATCAGCAACACCGGTCACGATGACATGATCGTACGTACCCCGCGATTCCTCGATTAGCTCTACCGATTACCCTAAATTCTGGAATTTGACACGCAAGGCAGCACGATGCAGTCCTGGATTACTACGGCCGGAGGTTAGCGACCTGCTCGTCGGATCGCACCATCAAGATCTTCGAGATTGAGGGCGAGTCACAACGGTTGATCGAGACACTCAAGGGGTATGTTTCCCGTCACGAGCACGGGCAGTTTCCAATTCCCGATGCTGACAGGTGGTGGTTAGGCACGAGGGCGCAGTGTGGTGCGTGTCCTGGGCGCATCCCAAGTACGGCAACATCCTCGCGAGCGCGGGCTACGACGGCAAGGTGCTCATCTGGCGCGAGCAAAACGGCTCGTGGCAGCGCATCTTCGACTTTGCCCTCCACAAGGCCAGCGTGAACATAGTGTCTTGGTCCCCCCACGAGGCCGGCTGCCTCCTCGCATGCGCTTCCTCCGATGGCAACGTCAGCGTTCTCGAATTCAAGGACAACAGCTGGGAGCACAGCAGCTTCCACGCGCACGGTCTGGGTGCCAACTCGGTTTCTTGGGCGCCTGCCACCACACCCGGCAGCATCGTCAGCAGCAACCCCGGCCCAGGGTCGGCCGGCAACAGACGCTTTGTAACTGGCGGTTCCGACAACCAGCTCAAGATCTGGGCGTACGACCCGGCTACGAACAGCTATAAGCAAGAGAGGGAGCCCTTGGCGGGTCATACCGATTGGGTCAGGGATGTGGCGTGGAGCCCAACGGTGCTTCAGAAGAGCTATATTGCCTCTGCGTCACAGGACAGGACAGTGCGGATCTGGACCAGTGACTCTGCCAGCCCCGGGCAGTGGAATGTCAAGGTCCTGAACTTTGATGCCGCTGTCTGGCGCGTGAGCTGGTCCCTTAGCGGGAACGTTCTTGCGGCCAGCGGGGCGGATAACAAGGTTACCTTGTGGAAGGAGAACCTTAAGGGCGAGTGGGAGTGCGTCAAGACCATTGAGGAGTAAATTTTGCATGAGATGTAATGATTATGGCGGGCGTTGTGGTGCGTGGTTTAGAAATATTATTATTTACTGGCAGTGCGTTTGAGATGACAGCAAAAGTCAGGCTTGGAACGTCGTGTCGTGTATGTCAACCATCAACAACAGAGAAGAAGGGGGGGTGTCACCCCTCTAAGCAACAATCACAAAGATCCCCCCCACAAACGACAACACAATTGTCATTCCCATCACCACCCACCCCTCCGTCCTTACTGTTCCAGCCCCCTTCACTGCAGGATTAGAAGTCTCAGCCGGCTCCTCATCATCTGTTCCTGTTCCACCATTCCCACCACCATTCCCCTCTCCATCATCATTGCCATCATCATTGCCATCATCCCCCCCATAATTCACCTCCTCCCAACTTTCCTCCTCCACATCCCCCGTCTGCTCCAAAACCCAAACCTCCCCTCCATAATCATTGCTAACAAACACCCTCCCTCGACCATCCACCTGCAACCCAACAGGCCTCAGAAAAATCCCATCCGGCCTGCACCGGTGCACATCCCCCGTATTCAATAAATCCCTCGCGGCATTCAAACTCTTTGCGCTATGAACTGGCTGCCCCGTCCCGGCATCCCACTCCACCTCTGCGACTTTATACCCCTCCGGCTCATCCCTATTCCAGCTCCCATGAAACGAGACGTAAGCCCTCGTCCCCTCACTGTTGAACTTGATATCCAGCGGTGCCATGTGCGCCTTGAATGTCAGCCGCGGGGGGACATACTCCCGTGCGCAAGTCTCATCGTTCAACTCGGCGGTTTGATTCAGGGAGAACTGATCCCCCGTGGTCAGGGTGTTGAGGTCGGGGAAGTCGGTTCTGTTGTACAACGGGAAACAGAACGGGTAGCCGTGGTGTCGGTTTTCTGGTAAGGACCCGTTGAGGAAGCCGTGAAAGTTGAGTTCTTCGCCTGGGTTTTCGTTGTGGATGTCGGTGCCGAGGCGGGTGGTTTGGTCGATGTTGTTTTCCACGCTGAATACACCCCCAGTGATGGGGTGCTCGGCTATTCCGACTGAGTTGCGCAGGCCGGAGCCGATTAGGAGGCCCTGGGAGGGGTAGCTGTAGGGTGGGCTCGTGGAGGTGAGGTTGGAGATGTTGAAGGCGCGGATTTGGGAGATGCCGTTTTCCAAGGGGATGGATAAGGGGTCGATGTTAGAGGCGCTGCCGCGGGAGACTAAGAGGAGGTCGGGGTGGGAGGGGGAGAGGAAGAGGGTGCGGGAGACGTGGTCGGTGTTGGTCATGTTGGTGATTATCTCGCGGCGGTTGGACACCGAGGCGGTGGAGGGGTCGTAGTCCCATGCCCAGACGCTTTCGCGGGAGGAGGCGTAAAGGGTGCGGCCTGAGGGGGAGAGTTCAATGCCATGGTTGAGCTGGAGGGGCTGTTAGTGATGGTGAGGATGGAATGGGAAAGATAAGGGGGCTTACTCGTTCGTCTTCGATGACAGTGATGTTGTTGATTACGTAGGGGCAGGTGCTTGCTCTGTCGGTGACGTTGAGGTGGACGATGCCGCTTTGGGCAGAAACAACGAGGAGACCGCCTCTGCCATCAAGCTTGATGCTACGGGCGAAGCCGAGGTTTCGAGCAAGCAGATGCGCCGTCCAGCCCTTTGCTATGGTAACATCATAACTCGGCGTCAAGTTGATGGCGCATGTCTCCGACGATGACGTTTCAGTCGGCGGAGGTGGCAGCGTAGTTTGCGCTTGAACACCGCCCAGCAGCAGCAAGGCTGCAGTGGTGGATTGGAAACGCATTGCAAGTGAGTGAGGCTATCACTTGAGGCTCGATTGCAGAAAAGCAAGAGCGTGGGGGAGCAACAAAGATACAAGATCCATAGTTCCAGCCTTGTTCAGCTAGTGCTTATTATACTTATTCCAGGTAGCAATACAAACACAAAGGCAGTGGAAGCCAAGCTGTGTTTGTCTTGGTGGATGTATGCTGTCGTCGTCAGCCACCTTGCCCATAAAAGATATGGATTACCTGCCAAGGACAGCATTGTTGGTTGAAACCTCATGGCGCCTTACGCTCCCCTCTTTTCTCGTGCATGATGAAAGGATGTGACTGGAAAAGATCCCGTCTGCCACGAATGCCCAGAGTCTTGGGATCTTATAAACGTTTGTTGTTGCCCAGAGTGTCTTTCCACGTCTTGCCTCTCATGTCATCGAGGGAAGCTGCCGCATAGCCGAGTTGACCACAACTTGTCCTCACGGCCTCCGACAGCTATTTCTTCAGCTTCTCCTTTATGCCACAAGCCAGTATGTGATTCTTTACGAAAGCCCAGTTCTAGAATAGCTGATACGACCTCTAGTCGGCCCATGCTAGTAGTGGAATTAGTGTGGGTTCCTGGGGTAGCTAGATTATTCTTCAGACGACAAGACAATGAACAAGAAGTCGGTCTATAGCTCTGATGTCATCGGGTGCTTGGTGGTTGCTCAGCTGCTGGAGTGGGATCTATCCCGCCTGTACCTTTTATTTATCTCCTGGCCTCGAAGATCCATTCCTGCTAGGCTCATGATAACCTCATTTCCTAGGTGGCCCTGCAACCTCCGAGACTCGACGCATCATCTCGATTTGACTCTACCAGAGTTGCGGTCAGCACTACATGCCCAACTGGAGCATGTGACGTTGAATAGTGAAACATGATTAGAACATAGATGAGATGAATAAAATCAGGACTTGGAGTCGCAAGAGATCAAAGACAGCAGAGGAAGGGACTGCCCGGGCTGTCAAACTCGGTGTTAAGCCAATGCCGCGGGGTAGCATGCGGGGGAGTTTGGGCTGGCCCACCAAAAATTGGATTTCATTGTCTTGGCATCAAACAGGGGTGTGCTTCCTTTTGACCTTCCGAGAACTTGTGCCAGTGTCTGCAGAATCCATCACACTATATCGACAGCTAGGCGACCCAATTCTTATCTTCCAATTGTAAAGCTAATTTGACCGTTTATCTATATTTCTTCTGGGCATTAAATTCCCACCACGTACCGGTCATTTCCCATCACAAACTCCACCCACCCTCAACACCACCCCAAAATCTCTCGATGTCTCACAACCCCTTCTCAATCTCATCCAACCCCTTCAACCCCTCCCAAATCCTCTCCCTCTCCCCCTTTCCCAAAGCCTCATACGGCGCCCTCATCTTAAACCTCTCCTCCACCCCCTCCATGCCCTCCTGCACAACCCCAGCCCTCACCCCCGTAAACATCCCCGCCGCCAGCTTCGTCCCCGCAACCCCTAGACTCTTCAACACCTGCTCCCCCAACGCCGCCCTCCTATGCAACACCAACGCCTCCTCTCCCCTCCCCTCCTTCCACAACCTATAAACCCGTCCAATAACCTTGGGAAAAACATTCCCAAACGCAGCAATGCACCCCGCACTTCCCACACTGAGTCCCCCAATCAAAAAATCACTCTGCCCCCCAAAAACACTAAACCTATCCCTCCCAAACTCCGCCGCCAACCTCGTCACCTTAGCCACACTCCCACAAGTCAACTTAACCCCCACCACATTCCCACTCTCCCTCACAACCCGTGATATCATCCCAGAGTCCATATCAACCCCATTCGTCACCCCGGGAAAGTTATACACCACAACCCCCATCTCCCTCCCCCTTTCCCTTCCTAGTGTCCTCACATACTCCCCCACCTCTTTGAAAAACCCTTCCACAACAGCTGGCTTCGCCCCAAAATACGCACACGGCAAGACCAGCACGTAATCTGCCCCTGCGTCCTGAGCGTCGGAGATATACTCCTTTACCTGAGCTAGACTGTGGCCGGAAACGCCAGCCATGATGGGGAATCCCGGGGGGCAGACACTCTTTGCGAGGTGCAACAGCTGGGAGCGTTCCTCCCGGGTGAGGAGGAACGGCTCGGCGTTTGTGCCGAGGACTAAAAGGCCTGTGAGGCCGACGTGGGAAGAGGTGAGGTATTGGAAATAAAGGGATTGGGACTCTAGGTCGAGGGTGTCGTCGTTGGTGAAGATTGTTATCGAGGGGACCCAGAGGCCGGGTGGCGGTGGTGGTGGGACGGTTGCTTCCGCCATCGTGGTCTTGGACAACACACAGGAGATGAGTTGGAAAACGGAAACTTGCTGTTGGGGAGGTGCAGAATGACAGTGACATGAAAGAAGGGTCAAGGTTGGTGAGAGACAGTGTAGGTTGGAAAGATGTGATGGGTTATCTGTCAATATCAAGAAGTAAGTCAAACGTGTAAGTGAGTGGAGCACAAGCAACTCCAAGTGTCACCCTATCCCATACAGGAAGGTGCCCAATCCTATCAACAAGTTCCCCTCTTCTTGATAGAGAAATTCTATAGCGAGAATACCGACGACACAGGAACAAGTTTGAGCCGTTGGGATATTAGGCAACCCGAACAAACAGCACCGTCCCGATGCCGCATGCCGAGGGTTGTTGTATCACCGGAAACAACTCGGACATCCTCTGTCCTTCCATCCGGGTGCTTCATCCGCTTACCTCCCCTTCACCACTCACCATAATCCCCAAAAGCATTGCCCTATCATAGATATTATTACCAAAAAATACACTATCTTTTTCTCGCTTTATAGTACTCACCCCATCCTCCCCCCAAACTACCTAGGTATACCTCCCATTTTCGCATTCGGGATATAAAAAGGAAAAAAAAAAAAAAACAATTGTGTGTGTGTGCTGTTTCGAATCTGGGAAAAAGAACGAAGAAAAAGTAAAATAAAAACCAACAGCAAACTTCATTACAAAAAAAAGAGAAAGAAAACAGAAAACACCACACAGCAACACCGCAACCTACACTCCTCAAGAGAATAACCAAACCCAACCCATGTGTCAGCAAGTTTTTAACAGAATCATCTCCTCATCCCTCTCTGCCTCTCATCAGTTTACTGGGCGAAACACCCCCTCCTCATACACCCGGGCCTCAACGCAACCCAATTACACTCATCTCCAAAGTCCAAACTCTCCGAATCCAAACCTTCAACTTCTGCCCCTGCGGCACCCCCTCCACCCCCTCCAGCTCAACCCCCTCCCACCAGCACCTCCTCGCCGGCTTCCGCCAGAAAAGCAGCAGCTTCTGCGCCATCCCCACAGCATTATTCCCCATCTCGTTCCCCCTGATATCCGACCTCAGCCTCGCAAGCGCCAAGCTGCAGATGACCGCCTTGTTGGGCTCGCCAGCCCGATGACCCCAGTGATCATCATGGTTAAAACCACTGTACCTCATCATTAGCATAATTTCTTGATCGCATATCAAGGGGGGGGGGGAAACACACCCGGCAGTCAACATCTCAATCAAATGCGCCTCCGTCGTCCCCGGCTCATCACTCTTCTTCAACCCGCTAAAGATCCCCCCCTGCTCCAGCAACTTCTTCGCCGCCGCCCTCTTGACATCCATCATCTCTTCCTGGCCGATGTCCTGCTTGTGCGGGATCGCATAAAAGTCAAGATCCTCCCTCAAGACAATAATGCCCGCGCGCCTGCTGCTGTCGTCCCTCTGCTCTCGCGCAGCAGGATCAACACCCACCACATCGCTGCCGTCTTCGCTGGTGGTGGCAGGAATCGAAGAAGCGACACCCCGGAAAAAGTCAAGCATGTACTGCAGGGAAGCCGGGTCGTACTGTGTGTGAGTGTAATGGTCAGCTATGTATATTTCTAGATTGCGGAGGACACTGCGGATGTGAGAGGCATTCTGGCTGGTGGGGGTTGCGACGACTGTGACTGCGGCACGGGGAGCGGATGCGCCTATGTGATCGTCGTCCTCGTCGTATGCATTTCCTTGACCCGGCGGTGGTTGCTGTTGATATATCGGATTGGAGAGAGCGCCATCTCCATCACCGCCATCATCACCAACAACACCAGCACCGTTGCCATAATAGCCCTCGTCGTTCCCGTAGTAATAATTGGAATCGGTGGTACCCACATCAACTTGAACGGCGTCGCCGTCTTGGAAGCCGCCGCCCATGTGCCCTTCCGGGAAGAGGCCATTGGGGAAAAGCGAGAGCAGGACGAATTCAGGTAACGTCAAGAGCTCATCTCGGGACAGCGTGAAGCGGGTGCCCCTTCGCAAAAGTTAGTATTCGATGCCCATCACCCCCAATGACCGTGATCAATCTCACCGCAGGTCCATCGTTATCGTCTCATCGGCATTGATGTCTACAATCCCATGTCAGCCTTCATGTTCCATCTCATTTTCTCAACCCCCAAAACACCAACCTGACAGGGTATTAATCGGCGGCCCCCCTTGCTGGACCTGAGTAATAATACTCGACTCTCCTCCTGCGGCAGCCATGAGGTAGGTAAAAGAGTGGAGAGGACTGTATCCCTCCGAATAGGCTGGTGGTGGTTCTGCTTCTTCCTCCTTGCTGCGCGAAGATTCGCCTTTGCTGTCCCGTGGGAGCGCGCGTTTGGTTTCGTCTTGGAAGCGAGAGGCGGCGGACGCGCTGCTGTGGGATGATTGAGCTACCTGGTTGTCGGGCGGCGCATACGCTGGGGCGGCGGCAGTGCTGGGATTGGCTTCCTCTTCGTCGCTGTCGGGGGCGGACTCCTTGTGGTTTGCCGCCTCGGGGTTGGGAAGCGCAAAGAGGGACTGGAACGAAGGTGGCGGTCGAAAGTTGGAGCCGCTGGCCGAAGCCTCTGAAGCTGGGTACTGGGGTGGCGGCGACCGTTGGCCTGATGCTAAAGCTTCGTCGGGTGCCTGTCGGTGGTGGAGGAGTTCAACGTTGACTTCGTCGGTGAAGCAAACCAAGTCTGGGTCAGCCACGGCGTCGGATAGCTTGTCAATTGCTGGCGACGGTTGGGTGGGTGAGCGGCTGGACGGCCGTGAGTCGGACGAGGTGGTGCTAGTGTTGGTGTTGACGGGGCGGTCTCGTGTCACTGCCGTGGTGTTTGCTGGCCTCTTGGATATGACTGTGGGGTATTTGTGCTGCGCTCGCGCGGCTCTATGTCTTGACACGGTGCAAGGTGAGGTCCCTGGGGATGTGTGGGCGCGACCTTGATGGAGTTCTGTCGTCGGGAGGTAGCAGTGGTTCGGTTGGGGTACCTGGTCGCCTTGCTCAGGAGAGATGGGCGGATGAATGCTGGAAATTGAATGGATGGTATGCCCAGATTGATGGCCCGCAACTGTGTAGCTTAAGAAACCAGCCGAAAGTCTTATCTAACAAGCAGACGAGAAGGACGACTCATAGGAGAGATCAATACAATGGATCAGCAGAATAATTGTTTCTCTTCGAAGTATAGAACAAAGTAAAAAAGGTCGTTTGGTAGCTGAAGGTCCCCCGTTCCATGTCAGGGATTCCCAACATTAGGCCGCTGGGGCCCCTAAATTGCTGCTAACAAATTTCCTGGCGACTGCATTGAGCATTCACGCTGCAGGTGGGGCCCATAGCCGCCCACCAGCACTGACCAATCAATTTGCATATCTGATCACCTCAACACAGGCGACGTTCCATATTGGACCAGGATCACTGTGAATGCTGGATAGCTTCAGTCCATAGTGGAACATATAACGTACAAGATTAATAGTAATAGGTCTATCTAGTCATCGTCTTCATCACTGTCACCAAAGATGGCCTTGAACACATCCTCTCCTGCCCTTTTCCCTTCCAGCGCTTCATTTCTGCTGGGATCTATTACCATCGCTGGCTCAGGAGCAGGAGTTGACTTGCCAGAGCCCTCACCATTGGAACTCTCTCGACTTATCCCCACACCACCACCTGTTGTCAAAATCTCAGGCCTAAAGACCGGTTGATCGGGATATACATCAAACCTTGACGAGCCGCCAGGAGCCTGTTTGGTGGAATGCTCCTCATCTGGCTGGACATGCTCCGGTGGTCTGACGTTGAATCTCTTACACAGAAGGCGTGTAGGATAAAAGTCGGTAACAGACCTCGTCATGGGTCCAAACATACCAAGCTTCGCTGCTTCCTCGGAAGGGTCCTGGGGCTTTGGCGGAGGCTTGGAGAGGATATCCTTCTGACCAGCCTCACCTCTGCTGCCTCGTTTCGTTGTTGAAGATGTGGTAAATCTGCTGGCCATGAAGCCAGTCATCGGCTTGAAGATTCGAGCGCAGTTGTAAAACTCGGTCAGCTCTCTCAGCCAGTCCTCGCTGTTCATTTTTGGAGGCTGGGTTCCTGGGGTGGGTTTGAATCCAGCCTGATACTCGAGGAAAGCAATGTATCTCGCTCGTTTCTTCTCGTCGTCCGCATATGGCGCTCCACTGCTGACTCCCCTGGAAATAGCAGCGACAGCTGTCTCCTTGTCGAGTTTCGGAACGCGACTCAGCAACTCGTTCATACGCTCCTCTTCACTCAGCGCATATTCCGCTGGGACTTCGCCCTTGGCTTGAGGGAGATCGGCTCGGCCAGTAGCAGCAACCAGCCGTTCTCGAGCGGCAGGAGACAAGAAGTCGAAAACTGACTTTCCAGGTAGTTGTTTCTCTCCGAGAATGGCTGCGCGGGACTTTGGATCAAGCGTCGAGGCCTTTGCGGCATCTGCTGCTGATACAAATTCCGCCGGACCGCCCGCTGGGGATTTGGGTTTCTTCGAAGAGACCCAGCCTGGCGGAACCTGAGGAGGCGGGTACTTGCCTTCGCTGCTGATAGCCGAGGTCAGCGCATCTGGTTCCTTGCCAAACACAAAGCCATCGAGGGGCAGTCGTCCATCGTGACATTTTCGCACACCTAGAGCGATTTTCTCTAGGGCTGTCTTTTTCGACGGCCTAAACAGGGGCGCTTTGACAGCAGGATTGATCGTGGTCGTCGCCTTTTTCTTCTTTTTATCACCCCCTACCACTCGGTTGTAGGATATCTTGGGCCCAATCTCGTAGGGATCCTCATCATCAGAGCCCGTGTCGTTCAGGATACCTATGCCAATGCCACCTCGCGGCTTGTTGTCCTTCTTCTTCTTGCGGTCTGTCGGCAGTGTATATCGAGGCTTTCCAAAGCCACCCATAGTTTCGTCGTCATCCTCGTCATCTGAATGACTGGCGCCGTTGTTTTTGTTGGAAGATCCAATAGGTGTCAGTCTAGCATGGCCTCCATAACCTAATCCCTTGTGGTCTGTTTTGCGCACAAAGGAGATCATCGGCACATTCTCAGGAGCAAACAAATATGTCTCTCCAGGGCCGCTCGAATCGCTACGAAGCTCGAGGCGAGCTTTCCTTCTGATCTTGGGACCTATGCCTTGCCCTTCTTTCCAGCCCATTTTCTTCAGTAGCTTTTCGCCCATTGTCTCCCCGGTAGCTCGGAACAGGCCCATAAGCCCTGTGGCTCTTGACGCGTCATTTTTGGTGGAGCCCAGGCCAGCAAAGGCTGCTTTGGTTTGTATTCTCCGATCCTCTTCGGCATCGGCAAGATCTTCTTCGTCCATGAAGTCCTCGGGACGTTGTTGAGCGGATTTCGGGTCATCTTTCCGGCGGTTCGTACGTGAAGATACAAATGTCGAGGGCATCCACCCTTCTTTGGAGCCAACTGTATTGAAATATCTGAGAAGATGGTCGGTGCCTGTTGGGCATAAGGGAACTGGGTAAGGGCTGGACGCTTACCCTGCACTGAAGCCTCCGGTGAAGGCGCCATGAAGCCTCTTGCGCCCGCGCTCATCCCTCACCTCCTGCTTCCATATTGGCACGTAGGAGCCGTCGTCTCGCACATCGGGATCAAGTGGTGGGAGCGGAGTCCCAAAGAAGACGTATGGGGATTGCTGGGTGGTGAGGTCGGCTTCGTAAGCGGCGCGCGAACGCTTGTAGGACATGGGGATGGTGATCCTCGATTATCGTTAAATGGGGTTGACTGTCGCAATGCTGTGTGTTGTGATGGTCAATGGCTGCCGAATGTTGAATGCTGAAGGATTCGATGGTGCTTGGAGACTGGCAATAATTCGACTGCGAATGAGCACATGCTGGCCGTTGCTCTAGGCTGACTTCAAAATGACAGAGGGCCAAATATGGAAGGCGGTGGGAGCTCTCGAATAGAGATTGTGGGGCATTTACCAACTCCAGAACGCGGGGGTTTAGCGCATCCGACCTCTTGGATTCCAGTGGAACACTAATCTCCTGTATTTTTTGGTTTTCTGGAAGCCAAATCACCAAGTTCTTTTGAGTCTTTCGGTGCGGGATAATGGTCTGGCCGTCTTACAGTACTTGTGAGAAGTCTTTGAGAATCTCTGACACCAGCCACAGCATGAGCCATCGAGCACTGCTGTACCATTATCGGCATAGCGTGAGATCGGCAGATCGCTCTAACTCATATCGAGGGTTCAATATAGGACTTTTTGAACAACGTCACCGCGACAGACTGAAACATCGAACATATTATCGTGACCCCCACAGACTTTGATTGATAACGGGTGGCTCGCTTGAAATGATCGGCCTCATGATATCATCTCAAGCGGGCATCCTGCTGTGCTCAGGGCCTTCGAGGACTCCTTGCAAGGCCCGTGTCACCTTGTGTTATCCACACGAAAATTGAAGAATCCCCGACGGAGGACCTGCATCTTATTAGACCCGAGTGATTTCTAGGTTTCACCTGTAGGCCTTGCTGCTCAATAAAAGGCCCAACCGGCCGATTCGGGTCGCCGAACACGTGCAGAAGAAGCTGACGACGGACCCGATAGGACAGGAGAAGAATTGCGTCCCCCGCATATTGGTTTTGGTCTGCTGGCGCCACCGCAGCTGGTGTGCATACGTCCTTTGCCCCGACGACGCATAACCAGTTGGAAAGGCTGCCCCCGGCCTTGTGCTCCTGACCAGCGATGACCCGCAAAGGCTTCGAGAACAACGACTCGAGTGGTACCACCGTTGGCATACGTTCCTTGAGCAGGCCGACGGGGTCTCGCTTTTGCTGGTGACCCGTTGGAGACAGACTACTGGACAAGAGCCGGTCGGCGGAAGGCTGCTTGCTATGAGAGTTCCCAAACGAGCTGTTGGTGCAGCACACACACCATCCCATCTTTGATCTCGCCAATCAGGGCCGGTCGGGCAACCTGAAAGTCAGCCCTGCAAACCAAACTGCTGAGGTGAATTAGGTTGACGGTGAGCGAGCAACCGGTACCATCAGGCTGAGCCGTTTGTTAATACCACTCGCGAGGGTTGCTTTTCGAGGTGAGGGTGGGTTGATGAACATGGAAGTGCTGAGTGGGTCGCCGCTGTCTGCCCAGACATCGCCCAGCCCCCCTCCCCCCGGAATTGACATTGGCCAGAGCGGGGACCAACAGCAAAAAGCTACCATCCATCTTGACTGTCACGGACGCTGATATCACGGGTGAGGCGAGGATAGTTACCTAGACAGTAATAGAGTAGTCGGGGGATGAGTAAAAGAAAGAAAGGAGCAAACAGAGTAACCCGGATGGTGCATAAACCGGGCTGGAGACGCAATGCAATGCCATCATGGAAATGCCAGTTCACACCTCAACTAGGTACCCGCTAGAGAAGGGCAGCCAGCCAGTCCAGCCAGCCCAGTCGAGCCCCTGGCTCCAGCCCAAACACCGACTTGTTCCCCTCAACTCACTAAAAAAGCTGCGTCGACTGCCCAACCTTGGAACGACACGCTGCAGGCTGGACACCACGCAGCCCACGCTTCTCCAACCAAATCCCGACCCCCAATTCCCGTCTTTGTCCACCCTCGCCCTCGCCCTCCCACCGCATCTCACGATCAATCCTGTCTGTTGTCTTTTTTTGTGTTGTTTATCTATTTTGCACCGCAACAGCAGACAAGAACCTCCACCGCCCCGCTGCCTGTCTGCCTCCTGACCGATTAATCGACTGACCGAAACCGTTGCCAAATCAACCAACCAAGCAAGGCACCTGGAAGCCAACCACCCACCCTGGACGACTCGACTCGACTGCTTCTCTTTGTGAAATTGTCTTTGCATCATCATCACCGCCTCCACCAGCGCGCCTCCCTTCTACCGACGCCCTTCCTCTTGCAAGACTCTTACTCACCGTGTTCAATTGCCCGGGCTCCGGGAGTCCGACCATGACAACCACAATGCCAGCCGCTGGCACCGAAATGCCAATCCGGTCGCAGTCTGTCCGGACACGGCGCCCGCCCACAGGCACCCGCCCCGACCCTCTGCCACGGTCCGAATCATCTACGAGAGCCGAGGCGTCGCGCCCGTCACGCACGAGAAGCCAGCGCTCGACAAATGCCCCGTCTCCTCGTCACCCCCAGCAGCCTGACGCCTCGGCTGCTCCCCCAAGCCACCACGCCGAAGAGCACCGCGGCGATGGCACTTCAACCGACCCCCGGAGGCACCACACCTCCAAGCACAAATACCGTACCATGATTCCCGCCCCTTCGGGCAATTACACCTTTATCAAGACCATTGGCCAGGGCAGCATGGGCAAAGTCAAGCTGGCCAAAAAGGAGGTCACAGGCGAACTGGTCAGTTATCACGGTTTCCCCACCGCCATCCTCGGCTACATTGTGGGTCAGTCTATCTAACCTTGGATCTTTTACTTGTCAATAGGTTGCTTGCAAGATTATCGAGAGAGTGTCGCCCGACGATGGTCGCCAGAGCAGGGAGGAGAGAGAGAAGGCGGATGCTGCCAGGGAAGACCGAAATGCGCGCGAGGCTGCCATCGTCAGCCTGCTCAACCACCAGTACATCTGCGGACTCCGGGACAACCTGCGAACGAGATGGCACTGGTACATGCTGTTTGAATACGTTAATGGCGGTCAAATGCTGGACTACATCATCTCTCATGGAAAGCTCAAAGAAAAGCAGGCTCGGAAATTCGCCCGCCAGATTGCAAGCGCCGTCGACTACTGCCACCGAAACAGCATTGTCCACCGGGACCTGAAGATTGAAAACATCCTCATCAGCAAGACGGGCGACATTAAGATTATTGACTTCGGCCTCAGCAACCTTTTCTCGCCGGACGAGGACAGGAAATTGAAGACCTACTGTGGCAGTCTGTACTTTGCCGCCCCCGAGCTGCTCCAGGCGAAACCCTACACTGGCCCAGAGGTTGATGTCTGGAGTTTCGGTGTCGTGCTTTTCGTGTTGGTGTGCGGAAAGGTGCCCTTTGATGACCAGTATATGCCCGCCCTCCACCAAAAGATCAAGAAGGGTGCTGTTGACTACCCAAGCTGGCTGTCTAGTGGTGAGTTGACCTTTGTGTCTACCATGTTTCACTTCTCATGCTGATATTGTTTCTAGAATGCAAGCATCTGATCTCGCGGATGCTGGTGACGGATCCAAGACAACGTGCTACCATGCATGAGGTCATGAACCACCCCTGGATGCTCAAGGGTTACAACGGGCCACCCGAGAATTATCTCCCGCAGCGTGAACCCCTGTCGCTCCCGCTCGACAACGAAGTTATTGCAAAGATGACAGGCTTTAAATTTGGCCCTCCAGAATACATTAGGGAGGAGTTGACCAAGAGAATCAAGTCTCCAAAATACCAAGCGGCTGTCAGACGGCTCGAAAGGGAGAGGGAGCAACCGCAGCCCACACCCAAGGACGTCGAGAAGAGACGTGGCTTTGGGTTTGACTTTTACAAGAGGAGGAACTCAGTCACCAGCCGGGACACACTAACCACCGCCAGCTCCGAGGGTCTTCCGATTGGTGATGACCCGCTGAACGCTTTTGACCCTCTAATTTCCATCTATTATCTCGTGCGGGAGAAGCTAGAACGCGAGCGTGAGGGCCAGGCCGCCCAGGCTGGTCCACCAGCGGCGCCACCCAAGGTTCAAGTCCCGCCATCACCACAGCAGGCCCAGCCCCCACCGGTGCCCCCATCTCCAATTGTACGACCCAAGGAGAAGCACTCTCTTGCCGAGATCGTACCCCCAGCACCAGCTCACACCGACGGCGGACGTGGAACCCGAACCAGGGCTAGGTCCCACAGCGAGGAGCAAACCAGAGAACCCGTCAAGAATGGGCTCTTGTCGCCTGACATGATCCCCCAAAAGAAGGAGAGCACTGCTGCTGGCATCTTCCGACGACTCAGCACCCGCGACAGAAAGAAGGACGTCGGCGATCCTACTGGCAAGTCTATTCAAAAGTCGGTCTCTATGCGCGCCAAATCGCTCGGCCACGCCCGCAGGGAAAGCATCCAAGCGCGGCGGGCGAAGCGGGAGGCCGAGGCAGCCCGAGGCGATGCGGCGCCTGCCACCGCGCTACCTGTGCGGGAGGAAACCGACGCTGAACTGGGCGAGCTCGACAATGACAACGGCGGCGAGACAAGCGGCGGTTCCCACGAGCGTCTTGAGCCAGAGGATCCCGACCTTGCCAAGCCTGTCTTCCTCAAGGGCATTTTTAGCGTGTCGACTACCTCGACAAAGCCACTGGTGGAGATTAGGGCGGATATCAAGAGGGTCCTGAGGGCGCTTGGGGTGGATTACAAGGAGATCAAGGGTGGGTTTAGATGCGCGCATAGTCCTAGCATTGCCGAGCGTCAGCCTCAGTATGACCGGTCAAGGTACAGCCATCAGAGCAGTGATGAGAGGAGAGGTGGTGGAAGCAGGGGCATGGACGATGGGGAGATCAAGTTTGAGATTTTGATTGTCAAGGTCCCTATCGTGAGCTTGCATGGTGTGCAGTTCAAGAGGGTGGGCGGTGATACTTGGCAGTATAAGGCGATGGCGGAGCATATTGTGAGGGAGCTGAGGTTGTAGATGGGGGAAACATAAAACGGGGTTAGGATAGAGTAGTTTTGGGGGTATACATGGACGCGGGTGGTTTGAATGGTGTAGGAGGAACGAAACAAAGAGGAAGGAGGGGGAAATTGTGTTTGGCTTTTGTTCTCTTCTTCTTTGGCATGGCATACGGTGGCTTGGGGGGAAAGCGGCGGGTAGGGACTTTTTTTCTTGGTGACTTTTGAGAGAAAGAGAGAGAGAGAGAGAGAGAGATCCATTTACAAGTTTTCATGATTTGAGAATTTTTATTATTCTAATTACTTTTTATTAATACGAGACTTTTTTTCTTGCGCCTGTATGGGATGTATAGGCATGCATGGAAGGTTTCTGCCCTCACTACACTCTCTTGCCCTGGCTGTCCTACCAGAACGTCACCGCCTGACCGACGTTTCTACTTCTTTCATCAGTGATTTACCATGTGAGGACAGCCATCCGCCTGATGGGATATGCTGATAGTTACTGATGACATTCCCAGCACGCTTCAGAAAAAGGCTGTCGTGCGAAGATTCAGAGCAAAGAATTATAGTGTGAACCTGGCATCTTTGCAGCGCATCAAAATCTTTACACCTTCTCCCGAAGCCTTGTTCTTATTTACCGCCATGCTAAGCCGCGCGTCCACTCTTGAATCACCTACACAAGAGAATCAGATCATACCACAAAAAGACGGACCTCTTCAGTCGCCCTAACAACCAACTTCCCATCAACAACCTCAACCACAACCACCCCTCTCCTCCACGCTTCACCCAATCCCCAATCCCACTCGCGTGCAACCTCCCTCAGGCATTCCCCCTTCGTTTCTGCCAGCTTGAACTCCTTCAGGTCTTTCCACCGCCCGTCCCCCATCCCGTTGATCCGGTCTGTTTGCTCCTTGAGGTTTTTGATCCCTTTTTGCAGTTTGAGCTGTTTGCAGGCGCGGGTGTATAAAAGGTCGCTGGATTGTTGTTGTTGGGTATATTCTATTAGCGTAGAGGAAAAGGCCGAGGGGGTTGGGACCGATTGGGAGGGAGACGTCGTTGTTGGTGTTGTAGTTATGGAGGGCTTTGGTGAGGAAGGGGGTGTCTTTAGGGGAGGATGGGAGAGGGGTTTTGGTTTGGGTTTGGGCGGTGAAGCTTCGGCAAAGGATGGCTGGATGTTGTTGTTGTTGTTGTTGTTGTTGTTGTTGTTGTCTGGTAAGGGATGGTGGTGGTGATGGTTGGAGGGTGGTTGGGCGTGGGAGAAGACGTTGTGAATACCTGGTGAAGAGATGGTTGCAGCGGGGGATGGGGGGTGGGAAGACGGGGAGGCATTATGCTGTGATTTATCAAGGTGGTGGAAATAGATGTGCTGGGTAGGTAAGTAGGTAGGTAGGTGGTGAGGAAGAAGTGGAAGAAGTTGGAGGTAAAGTGGTAGATGAGTCTGAGACATCAGGGCGGGTGAGTAAACGCAATCGATAAAGCTGCGGATGTGGGCTGGTGTCTGCACTGTTTAAAGTACCTTATGTCCCCAATCATTTCATTAGCGGTGAATATCAAGTGTTAAATTGTCATAGAAATCTTTGTTCATGTTCTAGTTCGTCTGGCAGATCGTTTTAGATTACGCAGCTACAGCAGGTTTTACATTATCCCACTTCTCTTCTACCTTCACACCAGTCCCACCCAGCGGCCGCCCCTCCAGCTCCCGCCGCCGTTCCAACTCACGATCCCCTTCAGTCTCAACCAGCAACTGCCTCTCCTTCATCTGCCTCTTCATCCGCCTCTCCCGCCTCTGTCTCCGGGGTATTTGACAAGCGCGGGCGTAAGTTGGGTCGTAAGAGCGGATGAACTGACGGTATAACGCGAGGACGAGCAAGAAGGCTAAGATGACGACCAAGTCGAAAATGCTGGGACGCCGTCGTTTGTAGGGCCGGAGGTGGTCATCATTATAATTGGGCGAATTTCCGTGGTTCCGGTCCTCTGCATTTCGGCGGTGATTTTATTGCCCAGCATTGCTTGGTCTTGAAGGCTCTTGGTAATGGGAATGCTGGCCGAAGGGAAGAGGTGGACAAGATGGGGATTTCGAAGCGGTGGGTGAGCCGGGGTAGCATGATTGTCCTTAGAGAAAGTCAAAAGGGAAAATATCCGGGATGATGATGGGGAATCCTGGGTCAGAGCCCTTATCATCAGTCCTTTTTCCTCTTCTCCTTTTCGTTCGACTTGTTGTTGGACTTGTTGTTGCTGGAGGTAGATGAGTCGCCGCCGTTCTTCCGTTGCTCTTGTTGCCGCAGAGTTTGGTAGATAAAGTGTGATTTTGTTTGAGAACGCTGCTTCAAATACGCCCCTCTCTGTGACCCATGCTGTCTTTTCGACGAATATGCCCGTGACAATGAGAGCGATAGAGCGTTGGATGGTGGTGAGGATACCTGGTAGGAGGAAGTAGAGGGTAGAACGTGGCGAGGATGGAGACGGTGAGGCATGCTCAATGTTGGTCTATTTTGGTAATGTATGAGTTGGTTGGTGTTGAGATGGTGTATGCCCTGAGAATCTTGGGTAGATGTTAAAAGTCGAATTGAGGGGGAAATATGAGCAAGCAACACTCATGTCTCAACTGCCTATCAGGCCCGAGGATAGTTGCTTGTGATAGGCTGATGAAACCTCGAGCGGTTGGCTGGTCTGCAGGATGCCGTATCCAGATGCTCCTTCACACAGTGTCAACTATTAGCGATCACATAAAAAGAAGTTTTACAGATAATGAGTGATAGATGGATGCTGGCGACGTGCTTTTACAGATCTCAGAATATCTACTGTAATGCCAATTCAGACCTGCCAGCAGAGTCCCCTCTTACCCAAACAACATCCAATACAGAAAGCTCAAGACTCCAGCCACCACTTCATAAACAAAGTTCCAAAGCATCTCGAACCTAAAGTTAATAACCTACCAAAGCACTAGGTCCAGAACGACCAAAAAGATTCCTGGGAGCAAAACTCCAACTCCCAAAACGACCCATAAGCAGAGCTCCTTGAATCCCTCCCAGGGTCTCTTCTTTGGCTCTTGCGTTTTCGGATCATTCCTGCGGTAGAGCCCAATTTGATAGCATCCTTGAGTTCTTGGGACTCCTCTGCATCTTCAGTCCTCTTCTCTGGCTTTGGCTCTGGCGTTTTGATTTAGTAGAGACTCTCATCTGCCCTGATTTGAGAGAGTAGGAATCATATGCTTCTTTTTGCTTTCGAGATAGGGGATGCTGCGGTTTCTGCCAACGGGAACCAGATGGCTTGGAGTGCTGACTTGAAAGGTATGACCGTGGTGGTGGTGGTGGTGATGATGGGAATGGGACGCAACAGCGGATATTGTATGCGAGCAACCGGTATGAGGGGGGGCGGGCAAGGATAAACCGTGGGATTGGTTGGTAAGGCATGGTGCGCTTTACTGTTTGCTGTGTTCAGTTGCTCGGTAGGTCATGAGACTGGAATGACCATCCATGAAAAGTTTTGCCAGGTTGCAATCCCCTCTTTGGAATTTCTGCGTATCAGAGGTGGTTTTGGTCGGCACAGTGTTTGAAACAGCGTCGTATGTGAGTGCGGTGGCAGGTAGCTCTGCTATTTTTCTCCACAAGTTGGCTTCAACCTCCATCCGCTTTTTGCTGCCACTTCTCCTTGTTTCAGCTGCCTAATCACCTCCTCCTCGATTTGCTTCTGTAAACGAACGGTATGAACCACTTCGAAACCGCATAACAGGATTCCCAGCATGAGCGCGATTGTAGTGAGCTTTGGATCGAGGGTCAACCTCACGCCCCGGGTCCATTTCGAAGAAGAATAGGCCCGTATCGGCGAGGGACTACTTGTGAATAGCGGTGGAAAATCTATGAGGTGACTGGGAAGACATTTTGGGTCACAAGCCTGGTTGGAAATAACCGAGTTGCGGAGGAAATGAGTTGAGAGTGGGAGACGAAACGGCGAGTCATGCTTGTTGGGTTTGATGGTAGAGTTGTCTTTCGAAATGGCCCCCGTTCACAGAAAAAAGATGAATTATTTTCAAGAGCGAAAATTCTCTTCTTAGGGCAGAGCATAAAGGGAGCATGCATGTTTCACCTGCCTGATGGAAGCGAACAAATCATGGCAACTTGCACAGTGTCCAGAAACTTCAAGCCAAATTGTGAGCTCAGATCATAAGTCATAATTCATCATTATGTACATGCCGTCAAGGCCGCTTAATCGTCAATGGCTTGAACGGTTTGCGCAGTCTGTCTATCGGTGCAATAGGCGTTCTTCCCACTTTACCCACCGGACTCGGTCTTGTCAGACCTCCTGATCCTCTCCCTGCCGTCAGTAGAGTTGGTCTCGTGAAGGTTGTGCTGTGAAGGCAAGCAGCCACTCTGGTGGGCTCTGGTAGGGGCTCATCATCTTCATCTGGATCCGGTTTGATGGCGTCGGGCTTGACAGGAGAGCTGGAGAAACAGGGATAGGCCGTTCCTTTGGGATTTTCATCAGGGGCTGGAGCAGGCCGGGCAGGACGAGAAAGCAGCGTCCCTTTGGCAGGTTTGTGTGTGGCCAGGCTGGGAGGAATCGCCTGCTGGCCTGGGTTGGCCGTCACTTGCGGAGGAGCAAGGCTGGCTTGAGTTGGAAGGCCATTATGAGACGTTGGCGCTGGACTGGGGTCGATACTCGGTTTAGTTGTAGACTTGACGAAACCTAGAATGCTCTTCTGGTCTGGAGGTCGTCGGTTGGCAAGTCTCTTCTCCTGTTCAGCCTTTTGCCTAGTCTCGGCCGCGGCGTTTGCCGCTGTGATAGCGGCCTGGTGCATGCCAGCACTGACGAACCCAGGTAACGATGAGACTGTAAAAGAAGAAGCCCCCTCCATAGTGGTTGTGTAGTCTCTGTGCCACTGCGCGTCTTCGCCTGAGTTCTTCTGGCCAGACATATTGGAGAGCCTGGGCCGCTTTGCTCGTGGCGCATCATCAGAAGTACGAGCCTCAGTACCGGCAGCTGGGACCTCTTGGGATTCTTCTGGGTCCACGGGAAATATGT